ACAGTTGTCAGGGCAGGAAAGCTGCTTTTCCTTCATCAGACCTCTTCAAACCCCTTCTCCAGGGGGAATTAGTGGTCCAGGTTAAGGCGCCATCAGGAGACTCTCACCTCGGCATTGATAACGCTTCAGTGCAGCTCGCTTCTCAGAAAGGTTGTGTTACTTCCAGATAAGGAGACGTTCTTACACGCAATATGTGATAAAGCACTTTAGCCACACTCAGAAAAAAGCTTACACCTGATTCAGTACCACACACACACACACACACACACACACACACACACACACACACACACACAGCTCACTGTGGTTGACTGACATGCAGGGATGCAGGTAAAGTGACTCTGCATTAAGGCTGGAGGGGCTTTTTGTATGCAGAACTTCAGAGGAATGTAAGAGCATGTTGTAGAGTTCTGGCCGAGGCTTCAATTATTCACATTACAATCAGAAATCTCGGCCATTCGCTGCTGCTGGGCTTTCCGTTCTTTCTGCAGCAGTGCTTGATGTTAAACTACTCACATTCTACTCTTCCAGCACTATTAACATGACAGGTGTTACACAGGTTTCTAGTGCTGAAATAACAGGATTGACATTCCTCTTTGGCACAACGAAAGCTTATACACAGTATCAGTCAGAGTAGCTAAAATGTGCTTTATGCACTCTCAGAGACATTTTTCCATTATAGCACACAGGCTCCCTCCATAAACACTGGGAATGCAAGCACACATTGCTAGTAACATTGTTAATAACATTACTATCATAGTGTTAATAAAGCTATTATAACAATACTATAACACATATATATGTTATATTTGTGTCACTATAATGCACTTTAATAACCTTGAATGTGTTGTTAATATTATCAATAATAGCATAATTTATCCTTTATTATTTATAATATTACCAACAATGCATATCATCACTGCCAGACCATTTTTGTTGTTTTCTATATTTTACAGAATTTGGAAATACCAACTGCCCTTTATAATATTTTAAGATTTCATTATGTTTACTATGAATGAAGCAACAGACATGACTTTTCCTTTAACTTCCATTCAACGTTAATAGAATTTTTCCTTCTTTTATCAAGTGACCATTTTGGTTTTGTTGCACCAACAACTATATATTATGTTATTGATGACATCATCAATGATGTTAATAGCTGTATTAGTAACAAGATTAACGACATTATCAGAAATATGATCACCATCATCAATGACATCGTTAATAATTCAGTAGCATTTTAATGACATTATTAATAACATTATGAATAACGTTGATATCCTTGTTAATAACATTAGTAATATCATCGTTGTTGACCACACTATTAATAACATTATTAATAATATTATTAATAATATTATGGATAACCTTATCAATAAGTGCACGAGCTTTCTTTCGTCATTCCAAGTGAAAAACATAAACACAAAGAAGCAGAAATTTCTGGACCGTCAGACAAACGCAGGAAGCCCACGCGCCGCCACGAGCATCAGATATTCACAGGAGAAGTGAAGCGGCTGGGAACTGAAGCCCACTGAAGCTCTGCTGAAGCCCACTGAAGCTCAGCTAGAGGACCTCTGAGAGGGAAAGTGCGCCTAATGAAACACTCCAGCTCCTATCCTGCGGCTCACTGACAGAGTTTGAGCAGCACGTGAGCTCTGTTCACTTTCTGCTCAGCGCTCAGCCCTGTTCGGCTGTTTCTTGGTGGAGCCGCTTCCATAAGTGCTGATCATTTCTCATCTTCATATGTGACCAAATAACTCATATTAGAGCGGGATATTTTCTCCAGAATCTCGCGCTCACCGACACACCCCAAAAGCGCGGGAACGGAGCTGCACTCCTGACTGATTTCTGTGTCTGATCGTGCAGTCAGAGCATTATTATGATTACACCAGTGCTAATTCTGAAAGAAATCTAATCTGATCTGAGGGTGAACACTTTAGACCCCCTTATCTTTTATATTTGCTGTATCTGCCTTTAAGAATCAGCTTCCTTCTGCTGATAACACCACAGTGCTGAACTGACACGTTTGGCGCTCTTTTGTGTCCAGTTAGACTAAAACTGTTTATTCTGGTTGTGCATTAAATTCTATTTAAATCAGCACATTAACAGTGACACATATACTGAAAGACTCCTACCTGATCTGTCCAGTCACATCTGAAGTCCAGGTGGAGGGTCGTTCAGCACCTCTTGCGCTCTCCGTGTCCTTCAGGCTGCGCTGCTGTGGCTGCTGGACGGAGCCGCGGTCAGTGAAGTTTGAGTGGGGAGCGCGCGGAGCTGTCTGCGGTGCTGAAATCCCTCACTCTGCTCTGCGCTTCGCTTTAGAGCAACGCATGAAAGACACACGGAAGAAAACTACTGTTGGACCGAGCGACAGACGAAATAAACGCTCTGAGCTTCCTGAACGCTTCTCCTGCGCATCTTTCCACACAAAAATGAAATAATATAATAATAATATAATAATAATAATAAATAATACAATCTAATAAGAAAATTGCGCTGAAACTCAATTTCTACTCAACTGAATGTCTTCAACTGAATCTAATGGGTTTTGATGGAGCCCTGCTCGCGAGGATGCTGAGGATGCCTACCCGCGCGCGCTCGAGCTCTGGACACCTCACATGAAGCTAGATTGCCAAACCACGAGCATCTCCAGCCGAGGGGAAGTGACCTATCCTGGTGGGCGCGTGTCGTACGGCTTTCCTGACATTTAGTAACAATAAAAGTTCACTACTACAATCTGGTGCGCGAGATGATGCACGACGAGTTATCAGGGTGTCTGTGTGTCTGTGTCAGAGACGCGCGCGCTCTCTACCCTAATCTGCTCTGCCTGTCAGTCTGTCAGTCTGTCAGTCAACGCGCATGCAAATGTGCCGAAACCCTGCAGGCTGCGTGGATTTTGTTAGTTAGCCACGCGCCGGGCTGTGACACGCGCCTCATAGAGGCTGGCTGGTCACAAACACGCAGAGAGAATCGATGCCGTTCCACTTTGGGACGACGGACAAGTTCTGACTTGAGGCCAACTGGGGGCGCGTGAAGGAGGGCGAGATGTCCCAGGAGGATAGAGAGAGAACACAGCATGTGTTTTGACCTTTACCCTCCTCCTGCTAATCGCAATTCTAGTGGAACCAATGAGAGTCCGTGTAGGTCTAAGACGTCAGAGGTCCAGTAAAAGCTGATAAAATATTAAGGACAATGTATTATTACTTCACGCTAGACTTTCCACAGCCAGCACTGCCGTCTTTTTCCACTGTGTTGAAGATGTTCCATTCCAGTGCAGTGGCAAGCTTATGGTCAGTTGAGACTAGACAGTGTAGAGACAATAGTGAGATGGTCATTTCTGACTCCTCTTGACTGCTCCTTTGGTTTTCTAAACTAGAAGTGACCAGAAACGTATTGTTGTTTGGTCTAAATGTCCCAAAACAATATTATCCTCAACTGCCTGTCTGCACACATTATCAATAATTACTTATTATTAATATTACTTATACAATTAGTTATCATTCATTACTTATATCACTTAATATTGCAGGGAGCGTTCCTTCATTGGTGTTCCTCAAAAAGAAATGTGACGTGCCCTGCACTCCTAAAAAAATGAAGGGTTCCTGAATCTTTCTTGGCTTGGTCCTATGGTTCTCGGTGGTTCCTTTGTTGGTGTAGAACCTTAATGTTGAGGTTCTTAAAACTTTAAAAAGGTTCTTCACATGTGAACAAACATCTTTGTAAAGACCCATTAATTGAAAGGTTCAAATGTGCTTCTTCTACAACAAAGATCTCTTTTTGGCACCTTTATTTTCAAGAGTGTATTTAAAAGTTTCTTATTAAAATACTCTGGAGCTGCTTTTTGAAAATCCCAAAGTCTTGAAGACCAAGCACGTCCACCTCCTTTCACTTCACTCTACACTCTTCAGTGTGAGGTTGTTAACGTAACTGGCCAAGCGGTGACCTAAAAGCCCCTGCTGACATATAAGCAATGGGTCACTCCAGTCCTGCACCTTCCTTTGCTTCTAAGAAGCACCTTATTACACATTCATAAGACCTGAGCCCCACTGAGGCTGGGTCTTGTGAAGCGGTGTAAATATTGATTATTGTTGTAAATAGTAAATGCTCACGTTGTCCACTAGGAGGATCAGGGTGAACTGCTGCTTTACAGGGAGGGTGAGCTGTACTGAGGCATTGAGCTGTGTGATCTCATACTGAGACATTCTGCTGTTCGGTCAATGGCCTGTCCACATTCAACTACTGTACGACTAACAGAAATCAATGTCAGCTTCTGTGAAAAGTAGTAAACAGCAGAGAAAGACTTTTTGCCCAGTTCCTTCTTATCTCTTATAAAAATATGGTCGCTCTGTTAAAGTCTGGTAAAGTTATAAATGTTGTTAGAAAGACCAATATTAGTGTAAAATGACAGTGTAAAGAGAAATCATGGTGTAAAATCATAAACGATAAATAATCATAAATAAGTGTGAAGGTGCAAATAATGGTGTAAAGTCAAATGTTAAAGTCATAAATGATGGGTTAAATTTAAAAATGTTGTAAAGTTATGAACGTTGGTGTAAAGTCATGAAATAACACAAATGATATTGTAAAAAGCATAAATATTAGTGTAAAGTCTTAAGTGTTAGTGTAAAGAAAACTGAGGGTCATAAATGTCAGCGTAAAGTCATAAATGCTGGTGTAAAGTCACAAAATAACAGTGTAAAACAAATAATGATGTAAAGTCATAAATGTTGGTGTATAGTCATGAATGTCCATGTAAAGTCACAAAAGATTGTGTAAAGACAAAAGTTTTCAATGTTAATGTAAACTAATACATGATAGTGTAAAGACACATGTTGGTGTATAGTCATAATTGTTAGTGTAAAGTCACAAATGATAGTCATAAATCTTAGTGTAAAGACATACATGTTGGTGTAAAATCAAAGTACAGTGACCAGTCATAAATATAGGTGTAAAGTCGTAAAGGTTAGTTTAAAGACTGCACAGTCACACTCACAGGCAAATGTTTTCTTTGCACAAGCTTTATAGATTCATACCTTAAAGTTACATTAAAGATACTGACCCCCAGTCAGAGTGTTACAAGAGATTGAAAAAATAATTATCAGTATCAAAATAATGAAATAACTACCATGTTAAATTGAGATTTCAACCATTTACAGTTCCGAGCTAAGAGCAAACCTACACATGTATACGGTACATCAGCAAGCCTTGAATGTCATTAGATACATCGTCCCTCTTGTTTGTGGCACATACAACATAACTGATTACAAAAAATAAAGAAACAAAGCATAAAAGCAAGAGATTACACTGTTACTGTAATTCTTTTGTTCATTTACGTCTTTAAAGATGTCAACAACAAGCACATCTGTCACATGCAGAAAAATGAGTGTTTTATAAAGACCTATAATTAAAACAAAGTTTTTAGCAACCTTTACCTTCCTTTGCCTCCATAATAAAATAGTATTTTATGGATGACTGCTAAGAGATCAATTTTCCTCTTTTTTCTTTTCTTTTTTTTTGTTACTTTTCTACTTCAGAAACTCAGAGAAAGCAGCATAGGCGATTACACTGTATGTAAATAGAATACAAAGCTCTAAATGCATTGTGTTTTATTTTGTCAATCCCAAGAACCTCAAAGGGGCTATTTGTCATGAAAAAACGGTTCTTTTTTTCAAAATTATTTCCAGCTTTCATGATGCAATAAAGATACAATAAATAGAATGTTTCAATAAAACTTAATGAAAGATTAACACCAATGTGTGGGCGGTAGCTACACAACATCATATATTTGAGTAGAAGTTTAGTGAATGCCTTTCTTTTCTAAAGATGGTTAACAATCATGGTTTCTTAATATTGATTACTGTATATACACTATATATAACAACTTTCTAGTGTCAGTAGTGAGGCAGTTATATTATGTGTTACATTAAAATAGTGAGATTTGATCATTTGATATTTTAAATATAAAAGCCCATTAGAGATGTAATCAAAAACACAATCATCTATGTGCAGACCAAGACTGCCGCTGCCTGGCTATTTTGAAGAAAAAGTATTGAAACTATGGCTGACATTTATTACCTACTGATTACACATTTTAAGACTGCTCTACTTGTTTAGGTGACCATTACTGAAAAGCACATTATATTTATGAATGAAAATAAACTGAAAAAATATCACTTATTGCACCTTTAAGGAACAAAATAGTTTCCGTTATCTACTTCAAACACACATTTCCATACACACAAGTCATCTCTTACATATTCTATCCCTTCTTTCTCCCTCCTTCATCATGCTTTTTCCTCATTGTCCTTCACGTGATCCTCCTCTCCGTCTTTTCTCTCCTTCTCTGCTTCCTCCATGTCCATGTCCAGTTCTTCAAATGAGGAGCCACTGCCTACAGACTCGCCGGAGCTCTTGGCCCCCTGGTCAGCTTCTTCATTCTGTCCATCTCCCTCATCCTGCTCTGGACTCTGTTGCTCCACTGGTAGCTCTGCCACGACCTCTCTGCTCTCAGCACCTGAAACACCTGCCTCCTGGATCACTGCACTGCTCTCTGTCCGACAGCTCTCACCTGCAACAACATCAAAGTATCTGTTAGACAGCGCACCAAATTTAAGACAAGCAGCCAACACAAAATTGGCAGCATGGCTTGAGGTTGCACATGAGGAGTTATTAAGGCTCAGGCTTGCTTACAGATGTGGACAACATCTATTTTCAAAGGAACATGCCCATGTTTTTCACTCTAATCTCCATCTGATGGATCTTCAGCGTATGGTAGATTAACACAAACAATAATTTAGATACATTTCCCTCAGAAAATACCTGCTGACTCAGTACTACAGTCTGACTGGTATATCAGTTGGCAATTAAGATTTTATGGGTATCAGTGAAAATACCACCTATTATTAGCCACCTTTGAGGGTCACAACATCACTGGGAATTGAACTCGACCCCTCTCCAAGACAGCGACAAGTTGAAGGGTTTTGTTCCAAAATACATTTTTTTTTCCCAATATACATTGTTGGTAGTGGACATGAAATATCAATGCTGTATTTTGATTAATACTGCCTGAATTTATACCATAATTAAAACCACCTGAAATTACATCATTTTCACTCACAGCACTATTATGAAGCATCATCATCAGTTCTATGAAGGAATACAGGAAAATATGAAAATGATCACTTTATACTTTGAACACATTAAAATCTTTCATCTGTAGTGTTCCTATGTAGGTATCTTCAAATAACAAACTTTCATATTGGAGCTTCTCGCTGTACAGCGCTGTGCAAACCTCACCTGCATGAACTGACCCTCCTGATGCTGCTACTACACAGACTCGACCTATTTAATCAGAGCCATTACTTAACCTGTTTTTCCCCTTTTCTGTATTTTAATATTTTATACTAATGTTAAAACCTTTTATTTTGTTTATTTTGCTCTTATGTTATTATTTTGCTATCCCGTGTGGATCAGAGGAGGATGGGTTCCCCTTTTGAGTCTTGGTTCCTCTCAAGGTTTCTTCCTCTTGCTCTTAGGGAGTTTTTCCTTGCCACTGTTGCCATTGGCGATGCTCATGGGGCTTCGGACCCAGATTTTTCTGTAAAGCTGCTTTGCGACAACACCTGTTGTAAAAAAGGACTATATAAATAAACTTTTACTCGACTTGACTTGACTTGACTATTTAACACCCACTTTTAACAGAAGTCACTGGGCAGTTACTGAATTCCAAAAGCAAAATTATATGTACAAGTTTTTTTGTAGAATTTCATGAATTCTTCAGTCAAAAGTGTTTGTAAATTTAGCTGTAAATCTGTATTGTTCCTTTAGGAATGGGTGCAGATTTCCAAACAGAAGAGTGGTAATGGTACAATGTTAGAAGCATAATGGTTAGCGTGCAGTTCACAGGTTTCAGGTTCTTTTCTACACACAAGTTATCAGCAGTGTTATGGCAGATGTGGCAGATAGAGATTAGGTTGAGGAGTATTCCTTTAACCAGCATGTTGGAGGTGTAAAAACCTGAAGTGGCTGTAATTGTAATGGATTGTAATTCGGCACAAGGCTATAAAGTGGTAACCTCTCCTTTTACAATACACACTCTTGTGCCCTGTTTCAGTGAAAAAATTAACTAAACTTAACAAAACTAAAATGTCATTTTCAATGTAGTTTGTAAACAAAGTTATATAGAGTGGTTTGATGTGAAATGCTCAGTTCTAGCGAAAGAGTTAGAATTTTTACAGTGGTAGTGACCAGAATCAGACATTCATCTGAAGAGTTTAATTCCTCAAAAATCTATTTGACAGAAAGTTATTGTGTGGTTCTGCATATACTGACTGATATCTGAGACATTGTTTCACGATAGTTTTGAGAGAAGATTTTGTCCAATAACATAAAAAGCCATTCATGGGAGCAACATGCAGGGTGTTGTAGGGCAAAATAGTACTAATAGGTTGGTGTCATTTTTAGAACTACCAGTAATTCACCATAATCAGCATTACATATAAAACCTCAGAAGCCATGTGTAGGTTTACTGGTCATTTTGAATAGTAAATGAAATGGCTACATTTGTGTTTTAGACATATTACATATAACTCCTGGTTTCTATCACCACCACTGTACAGAAATCTGAGTTGTAACTTTCTATAATGAACCATTTCACATCAAATCACTCTGTTTACATCTCAGTGACTGAATAATGCAGAAGTTTTAAAACTTGATGGGATTCCTCTTTAAATCCTAGCTGCACCTGTTGGCTTTCAGAGATTTTAAATGCCACGTGTTTCAGCATTAGAGAGTTACAGTCCCCTAATAATGGTGTAACTTTAAAGAGCTTTGCTGTTATTAGGAAACACTCCAGGTGAGAGCTGTAATTGCCAAGCAATATCTTAATTGAGCCAGAAGACCCCTCTGAGAGCATATCTACACCAAATATTGTCAAAAAAAGCAGACCCCAAGGAAGTTTCGTCAGATAGAAACAGCAGACACCGTAGATGTAAGAGAGACAGGACATGTGTTAAACACCTGTGATTCACCTGGAGAATTCAACATTAATCAAGATGAAACAGACGGTACACAACCTGATTTCTAGAGGCAATTATGGGAATAAAGTAGAACAACAGTTAGTCGTTTACATGTAAAAACAGAAAACCAAAAGGGAAAAGAACTGCTCATACTCTATTTTAGCCATCCATAATCATTTTATTCTCTGTGAACACAGTACATGATTCAGCTGAGCACCATTTTTTCTTCATTCGGTGAGGAAATGTGCTCATATTAAGTTTTCCTCATGACATCCATTTACATGTCCCTGCATGACATTTACAAGACTTCCTACTGATGCAGCCAGTCAACGATTCATACTATTCTTCACACTTCACTGAGGGTTCCTTAATCTGTTCCATTAAACCACATGTATCTAGCCCCAGTGATTAATGATGAGCAATAAGATGACTTGCCATCAAACTAGTCAAATTAGACACATCACATCTATCTTCACTGAGGGGGCTGCTACATTTTCCAACAGCTGCTTCTAATAATGTGCTGTAGAAGTAAAATACGTGTTGTAATTACAGTATTTGTACATTATGAATGCTATGGGGAGCCAGTGTATGGTTAAGCAAATTTCAGGAACAGTATACACTGTCAGAGCTGAGCTTTACTAGCTATTATGTTTTCCCTTTGGTGTGAAAACCTGAGAATGGTTACTATGTTACTATGAGTTACTATGAGTTAGTAAAACAATAACTGCACTGTGATTAAAGAGACTTGGCAAGTGTGTGTTCTGGATGTCAGTGATGAAACTGGAAACTATGTTCACTCTATGGAAATCACATGTTCTGGTTCATCTGTCCTGAAAACAATGTTACGAAATTACTGAATGTAATAAATACATGTTAATGAAGCTTATTTTGCCTACTCATCTAGTTATAACAAAATGCGCTGCTTTTTAAATAAAATTAATGGTGATTAACTACATTAATAACTACATAAGGGACACATGTATGACCTCACAACCTAACATTGTATAAAAACAAACCTGTGTGTGAGTTTTAATACTCCAGCATCAACCTAATCTGTATCTTTTGGATCAGTATGGTTGACTACCACAGAAAGTGATTCTGATGTGGTTCTCTGTACTTCCAGTCAATCTGACTCGACACACACTTATAATGGAAGTCAATGGGCAGCTGCTTTAAATCAATGGGTTTTCTGTTCTTTACTGTACTCTACAGATTAGACTGAAAAACATTAGAGTCTTCTTTCAAATATAAACATCTACTGAAAGGCTCTTTACAGAAAAGTCGTTCTTCTATGGCACCACAACGACACCTTTATTTGGTTATTCTTAGAAAATTTTCATATATCTTCAGTACTGTGCAAAATCAGAGACCACTTTTTCATTTATTTTATTTTCAGTCAAAACAGCCATTAACTGCAAGTTATTTATTTTTCAATGTCAGGAAAAAAAGAAATATCAAATGTATCAGTATTCAATTTATCCTCTCTTTAGTTTCGTGCGTCTTGACTTCCATTCTTGCCATCTTAAAACCAACACATCACAGCTGTGTCCTCCAAACAAAGCTGTTCCCAAATAAGTCACTGACATTATACACAGGGGTTTCTGTCCAACCCTCCACTGTGAAAAGCTCAGCACTGAGACTGAAAGGATGTGTAGCTGTCAAGAAGCCCTTATTGAGAAAAGGAAATAGACAGAAAAGAAGTAAATTTGCTCTAGATCACTGAAACTGGACATCTGAGTTGCAGAATAAGTTTTTATGGACTGATAAGTCTAAATTTGTATTTGGGATTAGTTGAATTGTGAGAAGCAGAAGTCTTCTAAGACTGAACTGTGTTCTAAGACATCCTTGTCGATTTCTTAGTCACCTAAGCATGTCATTTAAAACCACCTATATTAGCTATTACTATACTTTTGCTTATTACGTCACAGTAAAAAGTACAAGAATTTATTATTGACAGAGTAGTTGATATATTGTGAGCCAGTTTGAAGAACAAAGCTTGGTTCCAGTTATCTCCTTGATGCCCACTCGTACCAGTGCAACACATACTAACACACCAGCAGCACGTCAGTGTTACTGCAGTGCTGAAAATTGATCCACCACCCAAATAATACGTGCTCTATGGTGGTCCTGTGGGGGTCCTGACCATTGAAAAACAGGGCAAAAAGGGGCTAAAGTATGCAGAGAAACAGCTGGACTAAAGTCTCTAATTGCAGAACTATTAAGTGCACCTATATGGTAAGTGGAGCTGATAAAATGGACATTGAGGGTAGAAACAGAAAAGTACTTAATGAAATGGCTGGTCAGTGTACATGAAATATACACTCATTAGTTGGAACATGCAGCCACTGTTACTCTTACTGGATGTTGTTCACTCTATGGAAATCACATGTTCAGGTTTATCTGGCCTGAAAACAATGTAACAGAATCCTGAAAGTTATAAACACATTTCGATGAAGCTTATTTTGTCTACTTATCTAGTTATAACAAAATGCACTGCTTTTTAAACGGAATTAATGGTGATGAACTACATTAATAACTACATAAGGGACAC